CGCATTAATTTTGCAGTTGGAAGATGATTGTAGCAGCACAACGTTCGTTTTATATTGTGTGATACGATGGGACAGCAACAAGGGCGCTCCAAACCAATTGTGTGTCTCGCGAGATTTTGCCTAATTTTCTAATGTGTTTGTTGTTGTGTTGCTGATATTGCTTCCTGTCTGTTGCATGATTCTTGTCACAGGAATGGTGTAGGTTTAGAGATTTAAGGATACATCTTCGTTTTGCACAGCGCGTCTCTACATGTAGAAGAGAAAGGCCTGGATAAGAAGCTGTAAGTTGCGAACAAACATGCTGGTCGTGCACGTTTCACGCTGAAAACGACACGTCTTGTATGCAAACCAAATCTTTATGTTTTGACCCACACGGATGAGAGGCCAAGTGCTGTAATTGTGTTTGAGAGAACGCATGAAGGAAAAATTGTAATAGGAAGGGACATGCGAAACCCGAAAGTCGTTCAGAGTGTATTGCTTAATATGGTCAAGTTGCTGCTCAGGTATGTCAACTTACCGTATTTCACCCTCTTTCTATCTTGTCCTGAATCTGCTTTTCTTACGCACTCACCATACTAATGACGTTACTTCATGCACAGGAATCCAAACTCTTAAGATAACTAGGCAAGAATGAATGAACTAGCAGAAGTTTGGGTACAAATATGAAACCCTAGTTGGGGTTGTACCCCATATTGGCTACCCCACTACAGCCTACAAGCATAATACAGTTTAACACACCCCCATAGGCAAAGTGGGGGAGAACAAAGGGTCACAAGACCAGTCCAGCAAAGCAAAGCAAAGCCCAGGGTGGATCACAACGTCACCACACTCTGAGCACAAGCAAAGGCCACAAGGCCAGTTCACATGCAGTGCTAGATATAGTACAAGACAAGCAACACAGTGATCAAAACCTAGCAAGCAAGCAACAAGATATATATAAAGTACAGTACAAAGAATGTCAAGCAGTGAGCAAGTGAGGAAACGTGGACACAAGGCCTAAAGAAGTACAGTGCCGCTGATGATCACTAGGCGGGAGCGCCTTGGTGAAGATATCAGCAGTGTTGGCCTTCGAGTCCACGTACACAAGCCGAAGCTGACCGCGCTGCTGAAGCTCTCGAGCAAGAAAGTAGCGAAGAGCAATGTGCTTCGTCCTGTGCTCCAGTCTGTGCTCCTGACACAAGGCAAGAGCCGCCTTGTTGTCACCGTACAGAACTGGAGGAGAACTAGGCCGCTCTCCCAAGTCAGTCAGCAGGTAGGTGAGCCAGCGTAACTCCTGTGCAGCCATGGCTGTGGCGTAGATCTCAGCCTCACAACTAGAGCCGAGAACAGAGGAAGAGCGGGTGGACCGCCACGAGACAGAACCAGAGCCAAGGCTGAAGGTGTAACCCTGTGACGACCGCTGCGTAGCCAGGTCGTCCACCCAAGAAGCGTCCGAGTGACCAGTGAGGACAACTCTGTCGCGTCCTCCAAGCACCAGCCCCATGCCTGATGTACTGCACAAGTAACGCAGCACCCTCTTAGCAGCCTCCCAGTGCTCTCGCCTGTGTCTCCCAGGCGCAACGTAACGAGCAAGGATGCTAAGAGGGTACGCGAGGTCAGGTCGCGTGCAAGTCATCAGGTACATGAGGCAGCCTACAAGCTCTGGGTACGGGCCACTCGGCTCTACGGACTCGTCCGAAGGTGGAGGTGAGAGCGAGTGGCTGGTAGCCAGAGGTGTGGCCTGTGGTGAGGAGAACTGGAAGCCGAAGCGCTGAAGGACCTGCTGCACCATGTGTGACTGAGTCAGGGTGATGGTGCGGCGAGCTCTGTCCCGGGTGATCTGCAAGCCAAGGTAGCTATGCAGTTCACCCAGGTCAGTGCAGGTGTGTCTCTTCTGCAGCTCCGACTTCACACGAGCGAGAGCCTCAGTGTCAGCAGTAGCAAAGACCAAGTCGTCGACGTACACGAGAATGTAGAACGGCGGCAGCGACGTGTCTGTGCGCAGAAACAGCGACGGGTCAGCAGTAGACGGCGCGAACCCAAGAGCCGCAAGTGTAGTCCTCAGTGTGTCGTGCCACTCACGTGGTGCCTGGCGGAGACCGTAGACTGGCCGGCGGAGACTCCACTGGGTACCAGGGGGAAACGACCCAGTAAAGCCAGGTGGGCGGCGCAGCCAGATCTCCTCGTGCAGGCTGCCCTGCAGGAACGCTGTGCTGAAGTCAAGAGAGTGAAGCTCGTAGTCACGCTGAGCAGCAACGTGCAGCAGAACCCGAAGAGTGGTCATCTTCGGGGTGGGGGAGAAGGTCTGGAAGAAGTCGACCCCCTGACGCTGACTGAAGCCTCTAGCAACGTAACGAGCCTTGAAGACAGGCGGAGAACCTGGCGGCCGCTTCACCCTGAAAATCCACATGCCATCGACGATGTTCGCCCCAGGAGGGGGAACCTCGTCGACGTAGGTGCCTGTGGACTTCCAGGATGCCATCTCTGCGTCCATGGCTGTCTGCCACTGAGAGGAGTAGGGACCCGAGATCGCCTCTGCGTAAGTGCGCGGAGTGGGGATGTCTAGTGCATCCGGGTCTCCCTCAGGGGCAAGTAACCAGGCCACGAGATGAGGTACAGCAGCCGCAAGAGAGTCAAAGTCCTCCTGCCTGTCCTCAAGGACGTCCGTGCCAAGAGCACACTCACCCCCGACGGATGGAGGACAGACAGACGCAGACTCTGACTCAGCAACAAGGCTAGCAGCGTAGTCTAGACGACAGGCAGCAGCAAAGTCAACCAACTCAGCGACCAGAGCAGACGCAGCCGAGGACTCAAAGGTAGGGTCAGTGACAACAGTAGCTAGGAGATGCGTGACTGTAGGGTGCTCAGCGCGATACCGGTCAGACTCAGGGTCCGGAACGGCAGGCAAAGAGGACGCAGGAGGAGACGGTAGAGGGACACGCCGAGGAGCAGTAGAGGGACGCAGAGTCATGTAGTGAGTGCCTGGGACAGGAGGAGGACGCTCACGACGGACACGACTACCAGTGCGAGCAGGACGAACAGGCGACGCAGGACGAGACTCAGGCTCACGACGCTCTGTAAGACCTCCTGTGGGACCAGCGTAAGGAGAGGGAGCAGGGAGAGGCGAGGCAGGCGGTAACTGTGACTGCGGCTGGACAGGCGGAGGACACTCTACGGAGGGAGGAGGACAAGGAGGAGGAGCCTGCCCAAGAACCTGCTGAAGGAGCGGTACGAAGTACGGTCGCGGCCGCGCAGCGTCTCCAGAAACAGAAGAGACTCCAGCGGCCGGGTCCTCAGGACCAGCAGGAGCTCCAACGTCCGGGTCCCCAGCACCAGCAGCAGCGCCACCGCTCGGGTCCTCAGCTCCAGCAGCAGCTCCACCAGGCGGGTCCGCAGCACCAGCAGCAGCGCCACCCCCAGAGTCGGCAGCTCCAACTCCGCTAGCACCGCCAGCGCCAGAGTCCCCAGCTCCAGCAGCTCCAGTCGCAGTGCTCCCAGAACAACCAGTCCCGGCAGCTCCAGTACCCCCAGTACGAGCACCCCCAGGACGAGCAGCCCCAGCACCCCCAACTCCAGCCGAGCCACTAGGACGGCGAAAGCGCCGGACGTACCAGTCACGAAGCTGCTGCGGTGTGAGAGACTGCTCAGCACCCCGAACCGGAGCACCCCCAGACGCAGTAACCCGAGGCTCCGTAGGCTCAGTAGCAGCACCCCCAGGCTCAGTACCCGCAGGCTCAGTACCCGCAGGCTCAGCACCCCCAGTCGCAGCACCCCCAGGCTCAGCACCCCCAGGCGGCAAACTCTCAGGCACAGTACCCTCAGCTCCAGCACCCGCAGTCCCAGCACTCCCAGGCCCCGCACCCGCAGGCTCAGCACCCCCAGGCTCAGCACCCCCAGGCTCCGTACTCTCAGGCACCGTACCCTCAGCTCCAGCACCCTCAGTCCCAGCACCCGCAGCCCCAGCACCCCCAGGCCCAGCACCCCCAGGCTCAGCACCCCCAGGCTCAGCACTCCCAGCAGCACCACCCGCAGCAGCACCTGAGTCACCTGTGACCTCGACAGGCTCAGCGACGGGAGGAGGGTCTACCTGAGAGACACCTGAAGGAGCAGGACCCTGAGGGGGAAGGGGGTCTACCGGAGGGGGACCAGGAGCAAGGAAAAGCGGCGGGGGAGGGAGGGGGGCAGTGCGGTAGGGGAAGAGACGGTAAAAAGGGACCGACTCGTCAAAGGTGACATCCTGAGAGGCGAAGACCCGGCGCGAGGTGGGGTGGTAAAACTGCCAGCCAGGCGCGTCAGGGACAAAGCCAAGGAAGACACAGGGAAGCGTGCGGGAGGAGAGCTTGTCCGCGGACGTATCGCGGACAAGGGCACGAGCACCCCACACCCGGAAGCGCGACGCATCGCCAACCTCCCCCGTCCAACGCAGTGTGGGCGAGGTCTCCGGCAAGGAGACACGGGGCCAGAGGTTGAGCTGATGCGCGGCGTACCGGACAGCAAACGGCCACAGAAAATGGGGAGCCGCCGCGTGGACCAAGGAGGTACGAGCGACCTCCATGACCAGGCCAATGCGGCGCTCAGCAACCCCATTCTGCTGCGGGGAGTCCGGAAGCGTGAAGGTCTGCAGAGGAGCCTCTGTCGGGGGAAACGAGGAGGAGTGAGGAGCGGCGCGCTGCCGCCCCTCGACGCAAGGAAGGCAAGGCGGCGCAGGCGAGGCAGGGAGGGGAGGGAGGGACCTGGGAAGACCAGACACAAGGTGGCGACGGTGCATGCCACGAAGGCGTGGCAAGGAGGGGTGACCCAGGCGGTGGTGCCAGAGAAGAGTCTGGTGCGACAGGGAACGACACTCACAGGCGTGGGCTACCAGACCTGACGCAGACACCTGACCGACAGCAGCGACCTGAGGAGACGCAGTGGTCAGTGTGTAGAGACTCGACCCCGGCCGACGGGTAAACGTAGCCAGGTGACGGCCGGTCCTGGAGCACGTGCAGATCGCCACACGCTGTCCTCCAGGGGTAAAGGTGTCAACCCACTGATCCTGGAGGACAGCGTTGCTCACCAGGTTCGTCGAGAACGAGGGGAGGTGGAAACCCGACAACGAGCCAGACGGAACCGCCGGACAAGGGAGGACAGTGGTGGACTGGGCAAGGACTGGGCCCCCAGAGGGGTCAGCCAAGGAGACTGGGACCGGTGCAGGAAGCGGTGTGAGCTCAGTACTGTCACGAAAGAAGCAACGGGAAGCACCTGAGTCAAGGGTGAAGGTGTGACAGGCCTCAGCCGGTGCGGTACCTGAGAGAGCAGTCTCTGTGGGTGCTGTACCTGAGAGAGCAGACTCGAAACCAGCCGGGACAGCACTGGAGGGAGCAAGTACAGGGGGCACCATACCAGAGAGAGCAGACTCACTAGTACCCAGGGCAGCGGGCTCTATACCTGGATCAGGCGGCACACACAAGTAACAGTCTCCCTCGGCACTAACATGTCAAGATAGGTAGTAGAAAGTTTAGAGGCAGAAAGAGGAGTTGCACTAGCAAGCAGTTGAGTACATATAGGAACCCTAGATTGGGCTGTACTCGCTATAGAGTACCCCACTGCAGGCTAGACAAATACAACATTCTGACATAACAGTCAATGCATACATGGCAGCAATAATAGCATCATAGTCAAGAGCAAAGACATCAACACCAGCCCTCATGAGCTCAGCCCAGCGGGGGCGCTCAACATCCGCACCCATCTCCTCACGCCAAGCGTCGTCAAGGCGGGAGAAGCAGCGGTACAGGGTGTGGAACCTCCCACACGTCTGTCCCTTGCGGTCACCTGTGCGAATGACATAAGAACAGCGGCCACTGCCCCCCGACGTCCCACGCTGAGCAAGCCACTCACGAAGCTGCTGGGTCGTCTGGGGACGCTGCTGCTGCTGGGAGCTCTGGCCCGAGCCAGTGCCTCCACTCCGACCTCCGCCGCCACCACTACCACCGCTCCGACCGCCACCGCCACCACCGCCACCACCGCCACCGCCGCCACCGCCGCCGCCGCCGCCGCCACTACTGCCACTGCTTCCTCCGCCGCCCCCGCCTCCACCACCGACCCCACTCCCACCAGCGCTCCCGCCACCGCTCCCTCCAGCACCGCCTCCCCCCCCACCTCCCCCACCTCCTCCCCCCCCAGCGCCACCACCACCACCCTTGCCCCCCTTGCCCTTGCCGGTGCGGCGCCTCCCACCAGGAGCAGAAGCAGCGCCAACAGACTCAGCACCAAGGAAGTCAACAGCAGCAGCAGCAGCGTAGGAGGGAGCGAGGGGAGAGGGAGAACACCCCTCAAAGATGGGGGTGCGAGGAGCGCCACGAGCAGCACCGACAGCTACAATGCTCTTTTCGGCCGCGAGCAGCTGCTCCTCTAGGAGGGCGACTGTGAGCTCAGTGGGACAGCGAGCAAGGAAGTGGTCTCGAACTGAGCGGAGGGTGTCAGGGAGACGGGTGACTATGAAGTGGAGTGTCCAGTACAGTGGAGGGGGGTTCTTAGCGCAGAACTCGGTGGGAAGGGCGGCACGCAGGCGAGCATCACTAGTGCGAAGGTGGGTGATAAGATCGGCGACTGTAGTAAAGGTGGACAGATCGGGGAACAGGTACGGCAGCATGAGGCGGCTAAGCTCGGCTGTGGCAGGCGAGGAGTAGCGAGCAACGACAGCATCGTACAGGGCCTTAGCGGATTTGCAGTCGCCAAAATGCTCGAGCTCAGCTAGCGGCAGGTGACTGCGAATGGCTAGGCGAGCAGCTGCGTCACGAGTCTGCCAGTGGGAACGAACACTAAGCTCGGCTGTGGCAGCAGGAGCAGCGGCAGCACCAGACGCGTAGTCATAGAGGGAGATGTGGTCCGTGCTATTGCTCATAAGATACAACTGCAGGTCGTCGAGCCAGGAAGTGAACTGCACGGGACGGCCCTCAGCATCGAAGGAAAGAACGCGAATAGAGGCCATAGCTCAGGCGTGAGGGCACAGCAGAGCAGCGGCAGCAGCAGAGGGGACGCGCTAGAGCGAAGCTAGCAGCCACAGCAGGAGCAAGCGGCGGTGCACAGGCAGGGAGCAGCAGGCGAGAAGCGGGGCGGGCGGGCTGCGAAGCGGGCAGCGGGGCGGGCGGGCGACGCAGCAAGCGGGCAGTGAGGCAGCGGGCGGCGCTGCGAAGCAGGTAGCGGGCGGGCGGGCGGCGCTGCGAGCGGGCAGCGAAGCGGGCGGGCCGCGAAGCGGGCAGCGAGCGGGCGGGCGGGCTGCGAAGCGGGCAGCGGGGCGAGCGGGCTGCGAAGCGGGCGGGCCGCGAAGCGGGCAGCGAGCGGGCGGGCGGGCTGCGAAGCGGGCAGCGGGGCGAGCGGGCTGCGAAGCGGGCGGGCCGCGAAGCGGGCAGCGAGCGGGCGGGCGGGCTGCGAAGTGGGCGGGCCGCGAAGCGGGCAGCGAGCGAGCGGGCTGCGAAGCGGGCGGGCCGCGAAGCGGGCAGCGAGCGGGCGGGCGGGCTGCGAAGCGGGCAGCGGGGCGAGCGGGCTGCGAAGCGGGCAGCGGGGCGAGCGGGCTGCGAAGCGGGCGGGCCGCGAAGCGGGCAGCGAGCGGGCGGGCGGGCTGCGAAGCGGGCAGCGGGACGAGCGGGCTGCGAGCGGGCGGCTCGGCGGGCGGGCGACACTGCGAGGGGCGCGCGAGGGCGCTAGTGAGGGGCGCGCGAGGGCGCTAGCAAGGGGCGCGCGAGGGCGCTAACGAGGGGCGCGCGAGGGCGCTAACGAGGGTGCGCGCGAGGGCGCTAACGAGGGGCGCGCGAGGGCGCTAACGAGGGCGCACGAGGGCGCTACGAGGCTAGGGCACGGGGTAGCGTGGTAACCGCATGCGAGCGGTGGTGGGCCCTTAAAAAAAAACGGTCGGTAGGTCCTAGGGACCTCCTGCTCTGAATACCATCTCAAGATAACTAGGCAAGAATGAATGAACTAGCAGAAGTTTGGGTACAAATATGAAACCCTAGTTGGGGTTGTACCCCATATTGGCTACCCCACTACAGCCTACAAGCATAATACAGTTTAACACAAACAACTCCATAAAGATTGCGGATGATGTTAAATTCTATTTTCCTGAACGCTGAAATATCTGCAGAGGGCAAACCGAGTTGTTTCATGGTGCACCATGGTTGATTCTCCCATAGTGTATACCAGCTGTCTGTCCTGTCCACCTGACTATTTTATGCCACATACAAATTAGCAGGCACTGACCACCACACCGTAGTGCCCCCCATGCATTGCAAACCTCGCGTTGTATGATACTGCTTAACTAAATCTCATTGGCACAGATTAGGCAATAAAATGATTTCCTATGTCATTCTGTTACCGTACGATTGCAATCGAAAAGGGGCGAGCGAGGATTGCACTAAAGGGTCAAGAAATTACCGTACAATGTGAGCAAAGGCGCGAGTAAACATTTACCATTGAACAGTACAGTAACGTGGGCCTGAGAGCTAGCTGCTGGGATGCTGGCAGCGCGGCTTGGGCGGGTCGATTTGGCCAAGTCCAGCAATGCGAGGTTTGGTTAAAGTGACACGTGAAGTGGCAAACACCGCTGTATTGGGCGAGAACTACCAGCTGCTGCTGCACCTTTCCTTGCCCACCTTGGTTGGATAAGCATTTGCCTGTGAGTCGGCAGCCTTGCACCAAACCTCGCCTTAACGAGGTTTTGCCTAGCTAGTTTTCTTGTCATAATGCATCATATAGGTTTTTTTGTACGGTAAGTTCGGTTCATTTAGTCGCAATTCGCAGCTTTGTTATTTGTAAAATTCCATGCACTAAGTTTCATTACTCATAAGTAAACCCTAGTTAGTAAATGTATGTCTATGGCAAAAAACTCTACAAATGAGGGTGATGGGGTGGGTGGGGCCTATAATCGGAAAGTGCCTTACCGCTCCTTTCCCTCATGTTACGGTAAGCCTTGGCGCAAATATATTGTCGGGGTTCTATTCTGCGGTATTCTCGACAGTACGTTACCTACCGTACATAGATTCATTATTCGAGATTGTAACAGAAAAAAGTGAGGAAGACCTCTTATGGCCATCCAGGCAACAAAGAAACGGTGGTGCCAGACCAGCAAGATGAGAGAGTGCATCACAAACACGATCGTGTCCAGTACAGTCTGTTCCTTCAGCTCCTTCCCTGGCACAAGCTTCACTGACGCGGCGTGGCACCACCTCTAAAGATGCCCTTGCAATCTAGCATACCGTATGTCCGGAGCAGATTCAGAGCGCATTGCACAACTCCTTACCAGGTCACTAGGGCATGCTCCCACTAGCACAAACGTATCCGCTATATAATAACTGGTGGGCATTTTCCAAGATCCCCTCCCCCTCCTCCTCCTCCTCCTCCTCCTCCTCCTCCTCCTCCTCCTCCTCCTCCTCCTCCTCCTCCTCCTCCTCCTCCTCCTCTGTCAGTAGCTCAAAACTGGCAGGAATGGATGTGATGCAGATATTACACAGTACCAGCTGATCCACCTGGTTGATAATTTTTTTGTTGGTGCTCCAGTTTACACAGGCGAGACAAAGAACTCAAGCCTTGAGGTAGCGAAACCAACTGGGGTGCGCTAAAAACCTCTAGTGAAGTCAGTGTGCGCAGCTCCACTATGCTTCCCCCTGACCAAGAAACGAGCGCCAGATGTCGTAACTCCGGCAGCACTACACCCATGTCATCCACCGCAATGTTGCGCAGGTGGGAGTGAAAGGTCAGGGGGGTCGAGAGCCCCTACTTGCCATACATTGACAGCTCCTCCAACTGTTCCAAACATGATAGCCCCCAACTTCCTGCAAGTACCATAATCTAGCTCGGGTTGAGACCCAGCACCCTCAGCTGCGACAGCTTCAAAATGTCGATGAAATGGGAGGAGTCATCACATGAGAAAGAAATAGTACACCATATAAAATTTTGCTTTTTAAACGTAGGATAGAAAATATTATGATAGTTTGGCATCTTTTTCATCTTTTTATATGGTTCGCTGTTCTACATATTTGCACCAATGGTGTGCAAGACTTGGTGTAAACAAAATCTTTTTTTCATTATTCTGATTCTATTCCTTTTGTCACGAAATCGCACATATATTCGCGGTTGGAAGCAAGTCGTCGACCGTTACGGAGAGTTTGGGCCACCTTCAGGTGCTGAGAGGAAATCACTTTTCTACAGCTCTGTTTCGTACCTATTACCTATCTTCCGCGTAGTGCAGATAGTTACTCGCCTTTTACTCGACGTTTGTCATCACTGTTTACATTCGTTAAGATTGAACGTCAATCACCACGACAAGGAGAGAATAATCCCTCATGTATCTTGCTTAAGTCAGTCCTTAAATACAGGGAACTCTGTGTCTAGAAGGATTAACGAAAACAGGCGAGGTACACAAAGCACTGGCCGAAAATTCATCATACTACTACATCATTTCTTCATAGCCTGGCTGAGAGAACTTTGAAGTTTAAAATTCGTTGCTGTATGACTCCGTTCCTTGCTACAAGAATTCATCACAAAAATCAAATTGGTCAATTGCACCTTGAATGACGATATCTTAGACAAGATAGCATCAATTCTTCTGGATGATTTGACTTCCCACATCTTCAATAAGTGCTCTTTGAGTACATTCTACCTGCAAGTTGCTTGTCAACTAAGAGAACGTACATATGTGCTGTACTGCAGGATATGTGTCGGGCAGAGAAAACGACCCGGAGCTTCATATTAGTACGATAATACAAGCAGCAGGAAATTTAACGCATCTGGGCTTAAATATCGTCCGTCTTGCTAAGGTGCACGGAGAGGCCATTGCTGCAGCTCTTGAATGAGTGAGTTCATAGAAATTGTTTCATCCTTGAAGCAGGTGGCAAGTCTTTCAGGTCAAATGTTCAGTTTTCCTGCAGATTCGAAACTGAAAGAAGTGTCATTTCGTGAAAACAATTTTGTCAAAGAAGTACCCACACTGCTACAATCTCTTCAAATGATGTCGGAACTACGGGGTCTTAATATCGAATCAACAGGTATGATTTGCTGGCTATGAAAATGCCCTCATCGTTTCTTTTGCACTAATCCTGCTCTGCTGGGGTCAGGAATTAAATCTGTTTCGGGTATGTTTAACTTGCTGTATCTTTGGTCCTTTCTCAAGGTAAGCTTACATATTTGGCAAGCATTATAGTGAACTGGAAAGTTCAATCTCTTGCGTATTTGCAGACTCTTATCATGTCGTGCAACTAAAGGATGACATTAGACTTGGTGAATTTTTATAGGTTTCCACACGAGCAACTGGAGAGATTGCATTTGGAAAAAAAAAAAAAAAAAAACTTTTTTTTCTGCTGAATGACGTTGCCACACTTCACTACGTGACAAAGAAACTTCCGTACGTGCAGAGCAAATGGTGTTTTTTTTTTTTTTACTTCTTCTTATTTCCATCTCTCATTTTATGCTCTAACATTAATTTTGTTATTCCAGGGCACTGAAGGTTTTGCGTATATCACATTTACATCGTGGTAAAGAAGTGATTCTACGCAAGAACCTTCTGGAAAATGTTACTGGATGGCGGAGCAGCCCTCAGAGGTAAGGCAAGAAAGAGTGGATAATATATGTGCGAAGAGGTTTGCTGCTCTGCCAAATCTAATGATGTTACTGTATCAGGCTGTCTGAGAACAGTCTACAACCTAAACACAAGCCAATGTATCTACATATTTACCCTTTTGCAGTGAACCAATTGTTCTCTTTTTCTTACAATTACTACTACTTGTGGACTATAAGTGGTTGATTACAGTCCTTCATTATCTTTCCAGACTCTTGTGTGCTGCCGTCGTAATTGAAAGCCACTTAAGGTATTGTCTTCTAATCTTGAGAAGCAAAGTAATATTGAGCTCTTTAAAAATCTCACATTCATTTGCTGCATGCCTATGACTCACCTCCGGAACTAAGAAGATGTTGACTTTTCCAAAGGAGCGCGAGAAGAAAGATGCTCATGAGGTCGAGCATGTAACAACTGAAATTTGAGGTTCTTTTTCTTCCGTCCCACTTCATCCGATTTGGTTCTGCAATTGAGTATAAGGCAAGTGGCAACTTGTGCCAATACAACTACTAGGTAGGCCCAACCAGAAAGAGCAAGGCTGATGACACCCAAAGCAGCTTCCACGAAGATGCTCCATTTCAGCCATGATGAACGAAGAGGTCTGTCTGTATTTAGAAAGCTTGTATTTTTGCATTTATCGTAGCAATTGGCATAGTCTCATTCAAATGGCATTGTATAGTACAATTGAAATTCAAACAAGCAGTGACATTACATTAGTATGCATACACGTTACTATGGCTATTCTGTTTCCGATGGGGGAGATGGGCAGGAAAACTTGTAAAACGTTTGAAAATGAGATACGTGGGTGTTGTTTGGCCCACATTTTGTACTCCAAAATGGGCGTTTAGTGCTGCTCGACACTGCTTATTCCTACATTACAAGCAGCTATGTTTTCGAAATACATAAATTTGAAAAGAGTTAAAGGTGTTAATAATGTTTTTTTTTTCACAATGACTCACTATGTGTGGAAATTTTCTTTATTCATTTTTTCATCCTAGTAGATTGTAACGTGTTGTAAACTAAGAAGGATGCGGTATAGCACTTAGCTAGTGTATGCATGTCATACAAGTAATAATGTATTTCATACCAACAGCCTAGCGACCGTGCAAGATTGGCGGGATTGGCGTTCGAAGAGCATGTCTGTGGAATGAGAGACCAGAGTTAGGGCTTCCTGCGGGCTGCACGCCTCAAAACGAATCTGGCTCTCGTCCGCGTGCGAGCAGCAGCACGCAGCCAATAAACTCCAGATCCATGGATGCACTACACCCACTCCGTCAGTACGTACTTACTATCATGGAGACGCTATCTCATCCGTGTCATGACGTCTCTAGCGCTTGCCGTTCCTAATCGCATTTGCCGATTTCACCATCCTTATCTGGTGTGAGCTATGCATGCGCGAGCAGTAAATAGCGGGAAGTATTTCCATGACTGGGCACTCACACGAATAATAATAGTCATTCGCGTCCAGCTCCGCCTCGCGAGGCGTCCATCCATCCAACATTTTCAACATCTTTCGTCGCTGTCACGAAGATCTGTATATTGCTTCTTTCAATTTCTCGATAGGGAGTCGCTGAGACGCTAGTGACGCGCTCTTACCCTCACCCCGTCGACGTCATCGTCGCCGTTGTCGCCGACTTTGAACGAGCCGACTAGGTACGACTTTGCAAAGGGAGGAATCACTCTGGGAATTGTGACACAAGCGCTACGGGTGTGTGGTAGAGGGGGAATGGAATAGAGGGATGGGATTTTTCTGCAGCAATGTTGTCGGAGATTCTCCTCCCGCTCTATCATAACGCGAATGTGCCTTCGCCCATCGTTCCATGCTTCGCCACGCTGAAACTCGTCGCAAAGAGCATTTTCTATGGCGAAAGGGGAGGGTGGGATCTCCCTCGCATGTTCCCCTCCCTTACACCTTTTCCTCGCACGCTCCTTTCCCTCACACACTCCTCTCCCTCACACCCTCTCCCCTCACCATCAGACACACAGAGCCGCGATGATCAAGAAGCGCGGACTAAGAGATCCGCCGACAGCACCGGAAGGGCGGAAGAGAGGGAGGGCAGCAACAGCAGACTCTCCAGAGGCCGCAACAGCCGCTGCAGCAGCAGCAGCAGCAGCAACAGTGGCAGCACCTGTGGCTATAGCAGCTGCTGTTGCATTGGCCGCAGTGGCAGCACCTGCGGCTACAGGAGCCGAGGCATCGGGTCGTCTGGAGGAGAAGCAGGGTGGGGAGGAGCAAGGGGAGTTGGAAGAAGGGGAAGTCGTCGGGGAGGCGAGTGGGGAGGAGAAGGGGGAGGAGGAAGCAGGGGAAGTCGGGGAGGAGGATCAAGTGGTGGCAGAAGTTTGCATGCACAGCAGGAGGTGGGAAGGGCGGAGAGGCGATGATGACAGCATGCGCGGCAGGAGAGGGGGGAGGCAGGAGGGGAGGCGGAAGCAAGGGCAGATGAGGAAGTGACGGTGGCCGTCACCCGGCCCCGTAGCCCCTCGCTCCACCCGGCCCCTCCACTCCCTCTCACCCTCTCCCGTCCCCCTCAGAAGCAGAGATCAGTGGTGCTCTTGTGTCGCCCACGCAGAGGCGTTGCCGCCTCTGCTGTCATGGCAGCATCCACAGCAAGAGCAGCAGCAGCAGCGGCGGCAGTAGCACAAACAGCAGCAGTACCAGCAGCAGCACAAACAGCTGCAGCAGCAGCAGCAGCAGCAGCAGCAGCAGCACAAGCTGCAGCTGCAGCAGCACAAACTGCAGCAGAAGTCACAGCAGCACAAGTAGCACGAGGCACGGGGAGAGGGAGCGGAGGCAGGGGGCTAAGGAGGGGAGGCAGGGGGAGAGGGAGGGGCGGAGCAGCAACAAGGGGAGGAGGAGAGGAGGAGAGGAGTAGCACGTCTATAAACGACCTTCCTGACCATGTACTGGTTGAGATTCTCTCACTCGCCAACCACCTTGATCCCACTGTGACCCTTGCTGAACGAGCCGACAACGCCGCTGACAGCCTTCGCATCTCGTCTGTCTGCCGTCGGTGGCGCCGCCTCGCTCAGAGTCACGTTTTCACGATGCTCGTCAAGAAGTATGGCAATGATTCTCCAGGAGCTCTCAAACGCCGTCGCCCTCTCTCCCAATCTTACGAATCTCTATCTTCTTGAGGAACGTGTGGCCGATCTCAACGACGCCTTCTTCGGTCACCTTGCGGCGTCCTGCTCCAAGCTGAAAGCGCTGCACATAGAGCCGGAGGGAGAATGCGACAGTGATAAGTAGTGGAAGTATTCGCTTTCGATGACGGATGCAAGGCTGAACTTCTTCTTCCATCGCTGCCGGCAGTTGGAGCAGCTGACACTACACCACATGCTACCGCCGTCCTTCTTTTAACTGGCGAATCTGCGCTTTTTGTTTCTCAACAGCGCCTTTTTTCTCTTGGACCCAGGGCTGGCGAATCTCTCAAACCTCTCTTGGACCACCTGCAAGCCTTTACTCATCTCACCGCCCTTACCCGCCTATCCTTCGGCAATACAAACATCACCTTATAGAGCCCATGATTTTCCTCCTCGTTCGCCCACTTGCCGTCCCTCAAATCCCTAAACTGTGACCTCGGATTCGACCCGTCTTTGTTTGAACCTCATTGCAGATTCCTGAAACGTCTGTTGCTCTTCAATAGCACTGATATAATTATCCCTGACGGCATCCAATTCTTGAAGTCATCACTTGAAGAGCTTAGCCTCACTGGTTGCGAGTTGACGGAGCTGCGAGTAGGATTCGCTTCCTTTAGCAGCTTGCAGAGCCTGACGATCCGCAACCGCAAGCTTGCTTCTCTGTCAGCCAACTTTGGGGAGCTGGCCGCACTCAATACGTTGGTGCTGGATGACCTGCCACTCTCAACTTTCCTAGACTCCTTCAACTAGCTCTCCTATCTGAAGACATTTGTGCTGAAGGGTATGCGACTCTTAGGTCTCCCTGCCTTATTCGGCCATGGAGACGTTGGAGCTGGGGTGGCTGCCACTTTCACGTCTCCCCGCCTCTTTGAGCCAGCTCTCGTACCTGGACTCTCCGTGTGGCTGGTTGCGAGAACATCCGCCAGCTGCCTGCAGGATTCGCTTCCTCCCCTCACTCTAGTCGCTATCCTTGGAGAGTATGGAGAATCTGAATAGTCAGGAGGATTTTGGGCATCTCTCTAACCTGCAATCATTTGTCCTGAGTGATAACTCCGCACAGCAGCAGCCGCCATCCTCCTTCACTCAGCTTTCGTCGCTCACACGGCTAGAGCTGAAGGGGTGCGAATTAGCGGAGATCCTTGAGGGCATCAGTGGGCTGACGAAGCTTCAAGGGCTCTGCATCGACTTATGCAGCAAAGTGCGGGAGATACCCGAGGCCATCACGGCTCTCAGGCACCTGGAGAGCTTGCGCGTTGAGTGTTGTGCGAACCTCGCTCGGATGCCCGGGAATCTGGAGAGCCTTGAGAGGCTCAAGCAGCTTGAGATTAAAGGATGCCCGCTGTTGCTGGACGCTCCGTCACTACTGCCACCTTCGGTTGAGATTCTAATCGTACAGGTTCGCCAGCATGAGATCCCTTGGCAGCACTCTCTCACCTCCGTTCCTTGACTATCCGGGGAGCTGAAAGGTTGAGGGTCCTTCCAAAGAATCTTGGCTCATCATTGCAGCAGCTGCGGGAGCTTCACATTCATGATGCTCGGGATTTGGAGGAGCTACTTGGATGTGTTACAATGCTGCAGCACCTCAAATCCCTCGTAAATAAAGCTCTAAAGCTAGCTCCCCTGCCTGACAGCATTGGTGCTTTGTCCAAGTTGCGGTACCTGAATCTATGTCGTTGCTTTGCCCTCCTGCATCTCCCTGATTCAGTCACCCAGCTTGCCTTTCTGTATAAGTTGCACGTTGCCCCTGACTGCTCCGTCCGCTCCCTCCCTCCCTGGGTCCTAGACACAAGCAAGTATTGTATCTACGATTTTACCTGATTTCTAGTGAGTCTTATATAGTAAAAAAAAAAAAAAAAAACTGTTTGAGAGGGCAGGGCGCGACGAGCGAGGCAGGTGTTTGAGGAGAAAGCCTCCAGACTCAAAACGTGGTGTTGATCTTTGATATCATACATAACCACTGAGTTGTTTTAAGGGAAAAAAAATGAATTGTATTATTGATTTTGTTTTGTGGATGCAAATATATCATAAACATATGTGCGACATCTGCAGTCGAAACTGTACAAGTTCTTTTATCTGTACATTTATGCAATGAACGAACACAGATCTTGGTGAATGTACTCGCGTTGGAGTGCACTGATTTGGTGTACTCTTCGGATTGTAGGTTCGGCGTTGAAGGGACGCGCCGAGGTCTCGGTTTGGCAGAGAGTGAGTGGGTTAGCCCGAGGCTACCGTTCGAGCTCAAATTCTACAACAGTATGGTTACCAGGGCTGGTAGCTCCACGAAATCCTGTGGAGGGAACAATGGGCGGGATTGGCATTCGACAAACAGGTCTGTGGAATGAGAGACTGGAGCTAGGGCTGCCTACAGACTGCACGCCTCAAATGGCTTCCCCTCATCTCGATATGGATCACGTTATGGCGGGCGAAAACCCCAATCCGAGCGGGAAGGACTTCCTCTTGGATGATCCTACAGACGATCTCCCGCTGGCGGATCTTGGTGACGTTGAGTCTCATGCCGCCAAGAAGCCGTGTGTGGCGGCGGCCGGGGCTAATGACGGCAACCCTGGAACATCTTCGGCCGGCTTGGCTGCATCGGCCTCCTCTGCACCGGCCCCTCATCGGCCTCCTCTGCACCGGCCCCTCAGCAGGGGCAAACCCTGCTGGCGGTGGAACAGCCCCCCCCCCACTCGCCCTCTTCGCCGCCCCTCGTCTGGCCACGGCGGGTCCGACGTCCCTTCCCCGCCGCCGCAGGGCGTAGTTACCCTCTTGCTGCCGGAAGCTGGTGCTGATGCGAATCGGGCTGACATTCTTGTTCGGATGTCCGCCTTGCTGCGGGGACATATGTTCCCGAATGGAACCATCCCCTCCTATGAGGCTACGTCCGCTAAGGCACTTCGGGTCCCGCGCCGCTCGTATGTCCGGTTGTTATTCTCTTGGCCATCTGCCGATGATGCCGCGGCCTTATGACGCCTCTTCCCACTCTCCCTAAGGCTCGCATCCGCGCGGACCGTCCTTCTCAAGGCATCTGACGATCCTCACCCCGAGTTTACTGCTGCCAAGGCTAATGGCGCGACCACGCTATTTGTCCGCAACGTGCCGATCGGCTATGACCCGGAAGATATTAAGGAGTTCCTCCTTGATGCCACCACGTAGGATGGCCTGTCGTGGCTGGAGGATTTGCACTTCTTCCATCGGGTTTCGGGCCCCTACAAAGGCGTGGCGTTCACGATCATGGATGGCATCCCGATACTATGCCCCGAACGTAGTGAAGCGTCCGTCTTTTCCACTCTCATGACACAACACTCCCTTGTGGACGCCTTCCGCGTCCTGCATCCCAACGCTACTCTCTTTTCCTACTTTGGCCACCCTCGCACTACTTCCAACACATCCTCACCCATCCCCGCCCCTCGTCTTGATCGCACATATATCTCCGCTTCGTTGCGACCTCACCTGGCTTCATCCCCCTATCTCCTCATTCTTTCTGGTGTCTCCGATCACACCCTTGCACCGCTCTGCTCTTTCCTCTTCGATAACCCTGCTGCGGTACCCCGCGCATGGCGTCTCGGCACCTCCCTCCCCCCCCGCCCCAACATCTCGCGCATTATCGATGAACACCTCCGTCTTCTCCCTTCCCCCATATCCCCCATCGATTGGGACCTATGGAAATTCTGTCTGTGCCTTGCCCTGAAACGCTTCTCCTCCCAGGAACGTCGCCGTGTGGACAAAACAGTCGTCTATCTCTGTCACCTCATCTGCTCACTACAACACCAAGCCTCCTCTCATCCTCCCGATTCATCTGTCACGGCACCGCTGCTTCAAGCCAAGCAACAACTTGCGGCATATGAAACCACCAAAATAACCGAAGTTGCTTTGAAAGAAAAACTCAAAGTTGAAACCCATCGGGAAGTGGGTCTGTCGTCTCTTCTTGTTGGACTTGGCTCCCGCTCCAAGGCTGCCCACATCTCGTCCATCATCCTCCCAAATGGGCAATCGACATCGCACCTCCCCACCATAACAGCGATTTGCACAGACTTTTTCAAATTACTTTACAGTGGTAATACCTTCATCTCGCGTGATGAGTCCTTTTGGCAACACGTTCCTCGGACTTCCCTCCCGTCCTCAATGCTCTCCTCCCTGGCTGCTCCTTTTACGCCCCTCGAGATAGGCAAAGCCATCTCTTTGCTCGCCGCGGAAAAACCCCTGGACCAGACGGCCTTCCGGGCGAGCTTTATCGATATCTCAAGCCCCACTTCGCCCTGGTATTCTACTCGCTTTTCAACCCCCACGTCCCATTCACCTCCCTCCCACCATCCATGCTCCGTGGCCGAGCTGTTCTCATTCCTAGAAAAAGCGACTCCTCTCGTCCTGATAACTTTCGCCCTATCAATCTCATAAACGCTAAGTATAAAATCCTGGCGATCTGCATTTCTAACCGCCTCCAAAAAGCTCTCTCCCTCATGATCCATTCATCACAAATGGCGTTTCTGCGAAATCAGAAAATAGGGGACACAATCAATGATGGACTGGACATCATCAATCCTAGACATTATGGACTGGGCTACATTCTCAGCCTCTCCCCTCCTCGTCCTTACTGTAGATCTGTGTAAGGCCTATGACTCTGTCAATCGCTCCTTTCTCTTCCGCTGTCTCGCGCATTCGGGTATCCCCGATGAATTCATCCATTGAGTCTGCATGATGCACTATGGCACATCGACATGCGTTGTGGTCAATATTCTCGAAGGCCCCCCTTCCGAGTCAACTCTGGGGTCCGTCAGGGATGTCCCCTTGCCCCTCTCCTCTTCATCTGTGTTGTAGAGATATTTCACCGTTACACATCTAATCACCTGGTTTCGCCCTCTCAAGCACACAACGCCGCCTTATGGGCTGCTATAAACGGATGATATCACTATATTCCTCAACTCGAATGCAGAGCTTGATATTGCCCTAATTGTGCTCTCCCATCTTGCTTCAGTATCGGGGGAATTCCCCAACTGGGAAAAATGCTCTCTCATCCCGTTCAACCTCTCCCCACAATCTATCTCCTCTGCTGGTCCAATTTCTATTCGTCAGCCTCATGAAGCCGAGAGTATTATCGGAATCTTCGTTGAACTTGACTCTCCTGGGCACTGCTACCTGGACCAACACGCTAGCGCGAGTCAAACGTATTGCCAAATATCTCGCGTCCTTACGCGCCAACCGCCACCTGCCGGAAAAACTTATCCACAACCTTTCTCAACTCTGTCATCTCGTTCCCGACTCGGTTCCAGCCACCCTCGAAGGAAATTCATATCCGGCTCGATCAAATGGTAGGTAACTTACTCTCTGCCTCACAATACAAAGATCACGGTCTCGGGGTCCGACTTATCCCAAAAATGTTGCTTTACAATCAAGTGCACCATAGTGGCTTGGGTGCGATTGCCCCCTCCACACAAATCCGTGCCCTCTCTATTCAACGTGCTTTGCGCCGGCTTGGCACCTCGCCTGCGGAGTTGATAGCTCGCACATGCATCCCGCTTCCCTATGGCGCTCATGCCTTCCTGGCACACCGTTCAATCCTGCACAAGTCTGCTCTCCCCCCCTCAATTCCCCGTCGCATCCGCGATGAACTCGTAAATCTTATGACTTTAAACCCAACCGTGCTCCCTCCCCGCCTTGATCCACGATGCCTGGTGGCTAAGCCTATTTCATTTAATCGTTTTATCCTTAAACCCAACAAAACTCCCTTTGGCACCCGCAAGCAAGAGCGTTTAGTTCTCACTCTCCAACTTCGAGTTGGGCACATTTTCCGTTCTGACCCTCCCTTATGCTGCCCCATTTTGTAGGAGGAGTTCATCAAGCACTGGCCCCCGTCAGAGTATCCTTCTGGCCGTAGTTTACTGAAGAAAATCCTTCTTGCAATACCGCCCAGATGGAAACGCAACCTCCTTACACCCCCTCCCTGTCATGCCTCCCTGGGGATTGGTTTATCCTGATTCAGCAACTATCGAACCAGCCTCTCCTCGCGTTTGAGGCTCTGTCCTTCACCCCCCCGTCCACCCTACATGCTAAGATTTTCCGTTTGCTCCCACTAATCTCATTGATAGGGAGCCACTTGACACAATGACGTTCGACATTAAGCATGTCCTGGCAGCTCATGTACAGGGGAGGAGGCTCTTTGGGCCTTTTCACGAAGGGACAGGTTTAGGTGCAAGACTGGCGGTGCTCTCAGACGGTCCTCCTCCTCTCGCTAAACCATTTGACGTCTCCTCTACAAGCGGCAACCTCTCAATCACGATACTCGCTGGACAGCTGCTCTCTCTGGCCCTCCACCTCTTGTTCTCCCGGATCTCTCCCACTCCTTCCTTCGCGACCAACCCAGCCTTCAAAAGGATCTTCTCTACCGCTTCTATACACGTACCCTCGCGTCTGGTTCCTGTTTCAACTTCGCCACTGATCATGGTATATGCTCATTCTGCGTTTCTGGTCGTCTCGAAACCATTTCTCACATCTTCTTTGACTGCAGGGTTGCGGTCCCTGTCACCACGGCACTACGTTGTGTGGCCCCACGCCATCTCAGCCTCTCCATCTCTGGTGAACAAGTCTTCTTCCCCCTGCCATCCCACGCTGGCCAACGGGTGCCTTTGGGGTCTTCTTGCCGGCGCCCGCAGCTAAGGCACTTTGGAATGCTCGCTGCGAGCGGAAGTACCCGCGACTCTCACATCAACGCATTCGAAATCCTTCAAATCAGCCTTGCCCAACTCCTGATCGCCTTCAAGATCTTCCTTTGGCGTAGCGAGAGGCAGTCTTCTAAGAAGCGACGCCGTGCTGCTGCATCCATCTCCCATGCCAGGAATATCCGTTTTTTCACCTTCTCCAATGAAGGTGTTCCTGACATCCATCCTGATTTGCGCATGCCATGGCTCTTGAACGACTTGTTTCGTCCACTATAGTGTTTCATACCTCCTTTTTATACAGAGCGAACTTCCATACTTGGAAGCTGTCTAGACAGAGGATTAGCGTTTGCCACGCACCTCCTTCACTGGTGGTTGGCCTGCATAACCATTCTCTCTTTCGCTCAGTATAGGCCTTGTATTGGATTACGATCTATATATACACATGATGCCCAACCAGTGCACGCGAATTTGCCTTGCGCCGGATGGATACGCTGCACCCGAGGTCTTTTTTCCCAGCCTGTTGCACCTACGTTACAAGCGCGTCGCGTGGTTATGAACCAATAGTAACGAACAGACCGAAGTCAAACGGAAGGGACTGAAGTCAAAATGTCAACGGATAAGGTTACAGATCCTTTATATAAGCACCTGCGAGTCCTTTTTAGCTAGCTGCGAATTGACGAAACTTATGAGAACAGCACGATACAGCTTATACGCCCCCTTCACAAGGCAACCGGGAGGGGCTCAAACAGGCATCATGTGTAACGTTCTAATGTTACAAACCCATCTGCGTCGTGGCATGCTCGGATTGCACGGTGCGCCAACAGCAATGTCGAAGTTGCTGCGCCACGTGGACACCCCAAGGTGACCTTTTGCACGATGCGATCCCAACGTAGGGTCGATCGGTTCAGACAGGTTCTTTCTGTTTTCCAGCATTCAATATTGTGTCGAGCAGAAAACGTGACACAAGTGATCGGCGGTGGTTCTGGCGGCTACAGCGGAAACGAGCTAGCGAAGCGGTAGTGCTGGCAGTGGAGGAGCGTTCGTCTGGGAAGCGCGGTATTTATCGCGGATTGCCATGGCAACGTCTTGGGCGTTTGCTGCTCAATCGGACGCTACCTGCTACACGTGGCTGCCACGTGCTCGCAGGTCAGACCTCGTCGTGCGGCGCCCGCACGCCCTATTTTCGCTTAGTCACACGACCTTGTCGATGAATCATGCGCGCGATTGGCGAATGGGGATCGTTGATCGCATTGTCCCCTGCTCCCACCCGTCCCTCCGCTCCACCAGGCCACTCGCACGCGCATCACTCCCTGCCATCCCCTTCCCGCCTCTCGCGCCTCTCATCGCCGCGGCGCCACTCATCGACGCCGCACGCATCTCGCCTCGCCCCCTCCCTCGTCCCCTCCCCTCACTCCTCTCCTCCGCGCCGCACGTCTCCCCTCTGCCCGCTCGGCGCGCGTCGTCGCGGCCCGCTTTATTGCGCGCTGCGTCCGTGCGGGCGGCAGCTGACGCGGGCAGCGATGGCGGCGGCCCCGCCACCGCGGAAGGTGCGTCGCCGGCCAAGCGTGGCTCCCCGTGTCCCCCCACTTGCACATTCCACCCGTCCCCCTCACTGCCTTCCCCCCCCCACCCCCTCCCTCCATCACAAGCCTCTTTCTCCTCCGTTGACCTGCGGCTGGTGTCATGTCGTTGCTCTCACCCACCTCCCTCCCTCATCCACCGCCCTCCCGCGCCCACCTCCCTCCCGCGCCCACCTCCCTCCCGCGACCACCTACCTCCTTCACCCACCTCCCGTCCCCACCGACTTGCCTCTTTCGTCTCCCTGCTCCGGTGTGTTCATCCGCCGTCCTTCTCCCGTCCTCCTCCCGTCCTCCTCCCGTCCTCCTCCCGCCTCCTCCCGTCCTCCTCCCGTCCTCCTCCCGTCCTCCTCCCGTCC